GCCCCAACTGAATCAACTAACTCAGCACAGAATGGGCATTAAATCTGGGGCCTCCCAGATCTGTTACGGCTCTCTGTGAAGAGCTCTGAGACACTTTCCTACATGAAAGGCACTTACACCAATGCAAGTTGTTGTTGTTCTGCAGTTGCTAGCTCCCCTACTGGACCGCTCATGGGAACAGGAGTAGTCCATTCAGCCCCTCGAGCCTGTTCCACCATTCTACTAGATCATCACTGATCTGTACCTCAACTCCAATTAGCTGCCTTTGCTCTATAGCCTTTGATGCTCTTACCTAACAAACATTTATCGACATCAGTCTTGAAGTAGTGAATGGATCCAGCATCCACCCTGTAAAAGTGCTTCCTGCTTTCACTCCTCAATGGCCTGCCTCTAATTTTAAGATGATGTTCCCTTGTTCTGGATTCCCCCACCAGAGGATATAGAGTCTCTGTATTTTCCCTATCAAATCCTTTTATCATTTTAAACACTTCAATTAGATCATCCCTCAACCTTCTAAACTCATGGGAATACAAGCTCTCTACTGTAATCCCATTCCCTTACTCTTACACTTCTACCCTCGAATTCAAGACCTTTTATTTATTATCTATCAAAAGTTTGACACTCATAATAGTTATGACATCAACCCAGCTTTTATTACACAATTCCCTGTTCTGTTATGAAGATTTACCAAAAACAGGTTATTTTTAGCGAATTGGTTATGATAGATTCCTTCATGTGAATTATGGCTCAGCTCAAATCTGTTTATTCAGAAATATCTTGTTTAGAGATAATTTGGTTTGTGTTATGTTGTTTGGATAGAATTATCCATATAAATATGGTCTGGGAAGAGGTGAAGGGGAGTTGATAGATAAATGTTCTGTGTCAGACAGCCAGCAAAGCTCTTAAAACCAGCAGATATGATGGGCAGAATGAATTACATATTTGCTGTTCTCACCCCCTCCTCACGTTTAGATAAATGATCCTTTTTTTTGTTCCAGTTTGCTGAGAAAAACAAGTTAATCCGTGCATTTCTATTTACCTGAAACACAATGAACCAAGAGCACACAAATCCCTCATGCTTTTAAGACCATTGTCTTAAAATGTAAGTTCGTGCAGCGTTTTGGTAAACTAATCTTAAATTTGATCTCGATTTGGAAGCCATTTCCCTTCCCACTCAATATCTTAGAAGTGGCTTAACTGAACAACAACAAAATTCAATGGAGACCACACAGACATCTTTTGGCACAACAACTGTGCCAAAGTGTCGCTCCGCTCCACAACCATCAACTCGTTAGCCTGATGCAGTCAGATGGTTGTAGGTTCAATCCCCATATCAGGAATCAAACTTATAGACTGGGCTGACTCACCCTTGAAGGACTGAGGGAAACTCTGCATTGCCAGAGGTGCCTTCCTTCAGGTGACTCAGAAACTGAGCTCCCTGTGTCGGTTGGATGTTAAAGAACCCATAATGCTAATGGAATGCTAATGCTAATGGAACAAGATACAAGAGTGTCTCCTTGTGTCCTGGCCAACAATCCCTAAATAACAACAACATGCGTTTATATGGAGCTCTTCACACTGAGTAGCATCCTGGAGCGCTTCACAGGGGCGGAGTCTGACCCCAAGCCAGGGGGAGAGGGAGGGGGGAGGTGACTGAAAACATGATCAAAAAAGGAAGGTCTTTAGGTGAGATTTGAAGGTGGGGAGGGAGGGGGTAAGGTGGAGGGATTGATGGAGAGAGTTCCAGGGCTTTGGGGCATAGTGGCTGAAGTATACTTCACTAATTCACTTCATGGTGTTTGTGGGACATTGCTGAACCAAATTGGCGACCACATTTACCTTCAAAATGCACAGCCAATGCACTTCACAGTATATCTTGTGAGATACTGTGTAGTGTAGTGATCTCCTGTTTGAGAGATCCTCTCCTTTGAGATGTCCTCCTGACGAGAAAGCCGCTATATCAAATGTAAGGATTATTATCTTGGATTCTTGATTAGCAGGATTATTTTATGAGCTCAGAAAGTGGATTTGTTCAGGCAAGAGTTATTAATCTCCAGCCTTAACAATGCAGAGCTTGATGCCTGAGCTGGCAAGAAAGACGAGACACAATTGAAGAGGAAAGTCTTAAGGTCCGATTTGAAGATGAGTAAAGAGGGGGCAAAGTGGAGGCATTGAGGGAGGGAATTCCATAGGTTTGGAGTGTAGTGGCTGAAGGTTCTGCCACTGATGGTGGAGCAGAGGGGTAGGGCGACATGCAAAAAGGCCAGAGCCAGCCAAGCAAAGTGTGCAGAGAGAGGAGTGGGGTGTGAGCAGGTTTGTGCTAGGAGGAAAGATCTTCTTAAATTATATTAAATCACCATCTCACTCCCTGTCCTTAGCCTGTGAGCGCTGGAAGCTAACAAAAGGAGGCACGGCACAATGGTTCAGTACTTACTGGGTGTCGGAGCTGTGAAAATGATCCACTTGACAGGGGAAATATGACTAATGGATAATAAAACCCACGCACAAAATAATTCCATTTTTTACAACACATGCCAATTGGCCTGCCAATTTGCTTTGTGTGCAAGGAGAAGCAGAATTCAGAATGAAGGCTGCCTTGTTATATTAACTATTACCTTTCTTCAAACCCCCACCCCCTCAGGGAATTGTTAAGCGGTGTTTCATCTCCTTTTTTTCTCATGTTCTTCCATCAGCAAACAAGAGAAAAATGTCAGAAGAAGGTGAAACCATCCCACTCCACTGAACATGGGCTGAAAATCAACCAGGAAGCCAATTGATGTATATAAACCTGGTGAGTGTCTCATTAACACCACAAGCTTGATCGTGCCAATTTCTTCCACTATGGTCAGCTGCCGATTCCTTGGACACCAATCCTGGTAGAGTAACCTTGCCCAGTGACATTTAAGTAAAATGTTGACAATTTAAGGGTTAAATTCTTGACACACTCTCTTATCATTCCCCCTTTCTGTGTATAGCTGAGGCAATGGGCTGCTGATTGCCTTATTCTCTCTGTAATCTCCCGTAATCATTGTCCCTCTCACATGCTGACTGAAGGTGAGGTGGTGAATGCTGTAGCCACCATAACAACAATAATCCTTGCATTTGCAATTTCACCTTTCAAATCGGGAGGATGTCTTCATTGGATTTATTGTAAATTGTGACTGTTGTGGGCAAACACGGCAGCCAATTTGCGCACAGCAAAGTGCCACAAACAGCCATGAAGTGGATGACCCAATTTCATCTGGGAGATTATTAGCAAGGACACCTGGAGAAACTTCCTTCTCTTTCCAAGTCGTGAAGCTGTATTTTTAGCATCTACCTGTATAGGCAGTTGAAACCTCGATTTAAAGACTCATTAGAGGGTCAGCACCTCCAACAATGAAACCCCCTGTACTGCATTGGAGTGTCAGCCTGGAATATGAATTCAGTATAATAATAATTCTTGCATTTGATACAGCACCTTACCACGTCATCGAGCCATCTCAAAGCACTTCACAGGATATACTGCATAATAATAATAATAATAATCCTTGCATTTGATATAGCGCTTTTTACGTCAAGAGGACGTCCCAAAGCGCTTCACAGAACACACTGTAAAGTGAATTGACTGTATATTTGTGGGCGAACGCGGCAGCCAATTGCGCACAGCAATGTCCCACAAACAGTTGTAGATTGAAAATGACCAATTTATTATGGTTTTTGGATTTGGAGGGATTATTATTAGGCTCTGTGTGGAGTAAGGAAACTTGCCCAAGGTTTCGCCCTCTGCCTGGAATTGAACTCAGGTCTCCCGCTTGCAAAGCGAGTGCTCTAACCACTGAGCTACAGGACTCCACAGGATTGACTGTGTATTTTGTGGGTGAAATGTGACAGCCAGTTGGTGCACAGCACTGTCCCATTAAAACAGCCATGGCGTGAGTGAGCCATTTTTATTATTTCAGGGATTGTTGACCAGGACACTGGGAGAATCTACCTTCTGTTTTCGAACAGTGCTATGGGATCTTTAACATCTACCTGAACAGGCAGACAGGACATTGGTTTAACATCTCATCCGAAGGACAGATATCCTGGTACTTTAACTCACACCCTTCTAACTCAGAGGCGAGAATACGACTACTGAGCCAGGTTGACACCTGCAGACTATCCTTTCCCCCTCATCCAATCTCTCCTCTCTCCCTCCGTTGCCCTCTCCCTCACCCTCTCTCTGCGGGGAGAGGAGTGGTTGTCACGTCTTCAGATCTTTACTTGAAGCAGTTTCATCAATCATCAGAATTTCAGGGTTGTGTAGCTGTGAGCCTTGGTGATGGGAAAGCGTTGATGGTAATGGCCTGTGACAGAAACAAGGTGTTCATTACTGAACAAACTCTCAACTGACTGAAGGCAAGTGCTCCCTCCTCAAACTGGCTGCGATCAGTTTCTGATCATTGTTGAAGGAACTCACTTGTTAATCCATTTCATGCCAAGTGTGATGTCACTGCATAAAAATGGTCTGTAATCTCACTGATAGTCACTGTAGGAGGAAGGTCAATGCGGGACCTACTAATCGCTCCAAAGGGGCTTCAGGCTGTATGTGAGAGGGAGGCAATGGGTTTGGGGGTATAAAGCTCTTCCCTCTGGAACTTGTTGAAGGAGATTCACCGAAGCCCAAGAAAGAAAGGACGTCTGAAACTTTGTTGTACTGCAAACTCTGGCCTGTTGTAGGGAAGGTTGGTTAATGTGGTGCCCCACAGAGTGTGAGTTAAAGCACCAGGTTATCTGTCCTTTGGATGAGATGTTAAACCAATGTCCCGTCTGCCTGTTTAGGTAGACGTTAAAGACCAGGCACGAGTACAGAGGAATTGTGAGTGCGCGTTGTAAGTGGAGATGCAGACCCCTGGATTAGACTCCAGCTTGTACCTCACTCCTGAAGTCTAATCCAGTGGTCTGCATCTCCTTAATGTATAGAAAACAATAAACCACCCAAACCCCTGAATTAGACACACTGTTGTGGATCCATTATTTTCTCTGTTTTATTGCTGGGGAAGGGAGTACATCAATTCTGTGCTAATTGGCCAACGAGCTATCAGACCCAAATGTTTGGTAGCCAAACTCGGTGATATGGTGGCCATTATCTCTGTAAAGACTTTGGAGATTAACATAATCCAGACGGCGTCATGGTCTTGCGTTCAGGCTGCTGTATCCAGAGGAGGGTTCTCCCTCTCCACTGTCTATGGAGAGTGTGACTGACCCTCATGTGGTCAATCCAGGCACCCGTTGCTTGTGGTCGTATGTGTGATCATCATAAAATTGGTCCTTAGCCTTTAGCGTTCTGCAAACACAGGAACAATAAGAACAACTTACACAGTAATGATTAGTGCTTTAGTATTGTATATTTTGCAGTAAATTTGTGAAACCAGGGATTTTGCTGTTGATGGGACAATGCTCTATGCAAAATGGGCTACAGCGTTGTTCTAGAAATGATGATCACTGGAAGAGCATGTTTTAATATGCATTATGTTAAAACATCTCAAAGCACTTCAGAGGGTTTTACTTTAAAGTGTAGTGACTGAACGCAGCAACCAATTTTGCGCATGCTAGTGTCCCATCAACAGCCATGAAGTGAATAGCCAATTTTATCTGAGAGATTATTGGCCATGGTAACTCATAATTACTATTATTACTATTATATAATTACTTATAATTGTATAATCTGCATTGTATAATTATACGGTTGTGTCACCAGGCTGGCATACAAGTTCTTGCATTGAGAGAGTCTGTGACTTCCTTCTTTACCTGGCTACGTGTGGGTGAATGCGCCGTAGGCTCTCTGTGACATTGTAGTCGGTACCCAGTTTGTGGATGTTGGTGTTGAGGGTGAAGCCATCTCTGGCTGCCTTCTGGATGCCTCCCCATGTACAGCCCTCTCTGTCCAATCCTTTCAGAGTTTTGTCATAGTATCTGAGAATGAGGTTCAGAGCAAAAATAGATTCAGTTACAAACTAATGGATCAAGAAATGGTTCCAGACTCCATTGACTGTGATGTTAAGGAAAGATTTCCCCCCTCCATCCCCGCCACCGATGGCCCTCCGAGATCCCATATCAGGAACTGTCTGGCCGAAGACTGTATTCCCTTGAGTTTAGAAGGGTGATGATCTGATTGATGTATTTAAAATGATAAAGGGAATTGATAGGGTAGCTACAGAGAAACTATTTCCTCTGGTGGGGGAATCCAGAACAAGGGGCTATCATCTTAAATTAGAGCTAGGTCATTTAGGAGTGAAATCAGGAAGCATTTTTTCATGCAAAGGATAGTGGAAATCTGTAACTTTCTCCTCCAAAAGGCTGTGGATGCTGGATCCATTCAAATTTTCAAAATGCATTACAATCTACACTTAAATAGTGTCATTTGTGTAACATGAATATCTTCATGTGCTTCACAGCATTCATTCCTCTCTGTATCCTGCAATATAAATGCAATTTTAGGATATATATCAGGGGGAAGAGTGTTTGAGGCCAGTCCGATAAACTAATTTAAGAACAACAACTCGCATTTATTTAGCGCCCATCGTACAAGGGCGTCTCGGTCTTAAACTGCTTGCCACTTTGATAGCTGGGTATTTTGGAAGGAAGAAATTAAAAGGGCAAAGAAATATCTGCATCTGAGCCTCTCTTGTATTAATTCTCAATTTTTTAAAGGCTATCACTTACCCAATCTTGTAGTTTGTCATAAACCTGTCGGGATGCTTCTTCAGTGGGATGTAACCTTTCTCATTGGAGGTCGATCCAGTAGGTTGCTAAGATCAAAGAATAAAATGGGGAGAAAAAAATCCTTGCTGTATGCAAACAACGCACTGATACACGTTAAGCACTGAAATGTCCCACAAACAGCCATGAAGCGAGTAACTAACTTTATCTGGGGGATTATTGGCCAGGACACCGGGAGAAACTCCCTTCACTCTTCAAATAGTATGATAGAATCTTTAACCTCCACCTGAGTAGGCAGACCAGAACTGGGTTTTACATCTCATTAGAAGGACGGCACCTCCAATAACACAGCATCCACCAAGCACCAAAATAGAGTGTCAGCACAAATTCCCATGTGCGGGGTTTGAACCCACAACCTTAAGACTTGGAGGTGAGAACACTACTGACTGAGCCAGGCTAAAAGGAACATTTGAGCAAGAGTAGGCCATTTGGTCCATCAAGATTGTCCCACCATTTACCAAGATCATGGCCAATTCGCAACTCAATTCCACCTTCCAACCCTCTCTCCATATCCCTTGGTAACCCTGCGTCTCAAGTATGTCACGCCTTGCAAAAAATTACACAGCATTATCGCAGGGAGTCTGTGACCCAGTTAGTCTATGTGTGCGCACTTCTCTATACCATTGGTATGGATCTACTATTATACTGCCTCTGTAACAGATGTGGTTGTCTGGGCAAGAGGCCAATTCTCTAACCTCTGGAGACAATACAGCCGGAGAAGTGGCCAAAAAGTGAATTTTAACTCGGTTTCAAATGGGGGCTGATAGCTTAGGGTGCGAGTTCAAATACAATGCGGAGGTGACCAGCTCAGAGAACCTAATGGCTGCCATCTAAATAATAACCACAATAAATTTCTTCAGGTATCGTAATAATTTCAAGCAATGTCTCGCCTTTGTTTTAATCTGTTTAACCCCAAACCAATGTAGACTAATGATGGCAGTGGGGGTGTGTGTTGCGCGATTCTATTCCTGGGACGCAGGAAAGTGCGTCAAACAGTTTGCGTTGCAGTAACTGCATTTTGCCCTTGAGTGAAATTAACCTGCTGTGTGTTTTGGCAGAGAGAGGTACAAGAAAGATTCACACGAGACTCAGTTCAAAGAAAAATTGAGATAGGTTGGAGGGGACAATTCATGTGTTGGAAAATGGTTATGCTCCAGTTATTGTTATCTCCACACTCCACATACATCAGCCTGGCTCAGTTAGTAGCTCTCACGCCTCTGAGTCAGAAGATTGTGGATTCAAACTCTGTGTTGAGACTTTGAACTCATTGTCTTGGATGACACTCCAATGCAGTGCTTGGAAAGCATTGGATTGTCAGAAATGGCATCTTTCCGCTGAGACGTTAAAGCAGGAGATCTAATGGATTGAAGAGAGTTCTTACCCAGACCTCTCTTTTGATCTCACTGTATCGGCCATCTGAAATCAGTGAGATTCCTCGATAATTCTTGGTCTCATTAGGGTGTCCTTTCTTTCAATAGCGAGCTACATGGTCTTAGGTGTTTAAACTCCAGCAGTAACGTCAATATACACTCTGGAGGTCCCAAAGCCATGGCTCTGTGCCTGTTATTCTCCGGGTTTAGGTAAGGAGGGCGCACGCCTCCAAGGAGAGTGTGCATTCCATTTCCAGACTTCGTGAATTATCATGTATGAGTGGTACGGATATATTTCACTTACAAAATATACAGTCAATTCACTTTACAGCATATTCTGGGAAGCGCTTTGAGACGTCTCGGAGACTTGACCTGGCGCTATATCAAAATGCAAGGACTATTATAAAATGTATTATTATACGGGAACCTCTCAGTCTGGGTCGGATACTCTTAAGCACAGTGATGGGCATCGCCATGTGTCAGACACCCGGCTGACCAAAATTAAAATTACCTTATTTCCTGCAGTGACTCGGCCCAGGAGCTCGGTCTTCAGTAGCTCCTTCTCTGGCTTTGAGTGGACAAGGGTGTTAATGCTGCTGGGCCCGTCCTGATGGGTTCTGTTGAGATATTCGACAGGATCTTCCTTCTTTAGTTTCTCGACCATGTTGGTGGGGACCTTTTCCAGCCCTGGTGGCATCTAGAATATTAATATATTTGATTAGTCAAGAATCTGTAAAGCGCTTTGCAGGATTTGACTCTGTAGTTCCATGCAAACTGAATGGAGAGGAGCTTCAGACTACTTTCATGTGATGGTTAGCTTCATAAACATCAATCCGATATGACCAAAAAGTCATATCTACCCTATTATCTAAGAAAAATCATTTCTTTAAGACTTATTGTAATTTTGTTGTTGTTATTAGACATTGTAATGGTATCACAACTTTTTGGTCACTGTGTAGAAGAACAATAGGTCACAGGATGTAATCCTGAACTCCAGATTGGTGGCATCCTGATGACTGAGTACAGCTCTGTTCATGTCACCATTATTACAGTCAGGACATCTTGGCAATGGGGCGAGTACAGCAAAAGGCAACTGGATTGAAAGCTGGAATCAGCCACCTGGTGATTTACAAGGGCAGGTTACAGAGGCTGGAAATGTTCACACTGGGTGTTCAAAGGATGGAGATGAAGTAAGCCTTAACTGGTGAAACAAAAAGACTAAAAACTAAAAGGTATAATCAGTGATGATTACCATGTTCCAAATCCAGAATTATATGGACTCCATAACAAGCAGTCAACAAATTAACTCATCTCAATCCGCAACCCCCCACCCAACCTTCCCACACTTTCTCCCTAAGCTATCCATCCTCTTCTGCAATGGACCCCATGATTGAGAACCTTCTTGGTAATTCCCTGGGCAAGATGGTCTCATTCATCTGCACCCTGAAATGTACCAGTGTCAGAATCACTGTGATCTGCGGATGGTATATGAGGACATTCATTCCCCTGAAGATTACTGTATTTTCTTTCCCGTCTCTGTCGCCAGATCATTTTTTGTGTAAAACACAAGAGATCCTGGCGGATGCAAGAACACTGGGTTAGTTTGCATTGAGCCACAGTGGATAGAATAGTGATACGGAGACGCATAGATTAAGGTTCATCAGGGTCACTGGGGGTCTAATGTTTAGGAATCACTAAAATGCCATTATCTCATCTTTCTACTTGTGTTAAAGCACCTGCCTGATGTAGCTGTAATGTTGCACTGTGTGAACTGAAAGACTATAAATTGGTAGAATATCATACTTACGGCCGTGTCCAATGACATTCCCACTTCCCGAGTGAAGCCTGTGTTGTTGTCAAATCTGTTTGCAATTATAGGCAGAAATTCGTCACCCTGGGTATTGAAGAGAAGAATAAGGTTTGATTCCCATTTCACCATCACTCCCACATTCATCTGAGGGATCAATTCATCAGGGCTCATCAACAGAATAACGTGTGTGCAGTAGAAAGCCACGTATCCACATGCCTACGGCCATGGATGTGGAACTGAACACAAGGTTGGACTGTAAGTTATATGAATTCACAATCAGAGCCATAAGTCTTAAAAGGAATTGCTGCAGCCTTTAACCAAGAACGGTTTGGTTCCCTTTTAGTTTAAAACTTGTTTTAAAATATGCTTTTGAATGCCCTCCCCAAATAAAATGGTTTGGTAACCGAGTCCGCAATCATCCCCCTCCACGAATTGCAATTATCTCCGGATTGCACATTTTTGAACACTGAAAAGCAAGGATTGCCTATGTCATACAGTGGGTGGACAGGGCAGACACCAGATGTATCTCTTTATACAGAGAGTAATTAACAGATGGTTGAGCCTATTTTTGTTGTCAGCCGGGTGTCTGACACATATATGGAAACCCATTGCTGTGCTGAAGAGTATCCAAACCAGACTGAGAGTTTCACATATGTATTACCTACACATGGAAATTTCTCTGTGTCTGGAATGCAATAGGCACTCTCTCCACAGAGGAATGCACCCTGTTTATCTCATTCTGGAGAGTAGTAGGTGAAGGGTGGCAAGTGCCTTGGGATCTGCAAAGTGTGTGTTGGGGGTGACTGCTGAAGTTTAACCAGCTAAAACTGCATACCTTGCCATTGAGAGCATCACCTGCACACTGTTGATCCAGCTAGGACCATACTACCCATTAGGACTTTGACTTGAAAGCTTAACAGGAGAGAGTGGAAATTATTCCTGTCCCCAGTGTTCTCTGCCCCCAGTATGCCTGTCCAAATCATGCCGACGAACCAGGCTGGGCCAGTTTGTTATCGGCAATGCCCTGAAGTACTGAGGACTCACCTGGCTCAGGAACTGAATGAGGCTACTCATTTGATAACATGACTTTTTACTGTACTGGGAGGATGGTAGTATAGATATTCTGGAAGGATAGAATCAAGTGGGACAAAGTGACTTCTTCATCCAGACCTTTCTTGGGTGTGCGTTTTTCTTCTTGTCCCTAACTGATTGAATGAAAGGCAAGATCTCCAGGCTTAGACCTACACTATTGATTAACCCAATTGACATGGTTCGGATACGAGTCACTCAATGGCACTATCAGTTCACGTTCATCTTGTTTAGCTTCAAGTACATACGTGCAGCGTTCCTGATGGTAAGAAGTCTGTTGAGGTAATGCTGACTCCAGTTGGTCGGTCTGTACAGTATCCCTACAACAGAAAAATAAATATTAACTGAACTCTAAACCTTTTCCATAATAGGGTCTAACATCCAGTTATTGCAATGGGATGTTCCGTATTTAGGAATACAAGTGGAGCTCCTTCCATTGACTGGATGGATGTCACTCTGAGTTGTGGGAACTCAGCCCCCCCCACCCCCAGTAGATTGCGTAATGCACTTCCACTTTCCTTATAAGTGAGAACAATCCTCGGGCTTGATATTGCAGCTTATCATAACACTGAAATGTATTAAAGCGCTTCATAGGAATTTAACTTTGTATAAGATCTCACTGGAAGTCATCAACCTCTCCCCTACCTTGTTGAAACTTTCACTTTCTGAAATAATAGTACAGCCTTGCTTCATGAAAAGATAACTAGTCTTCCCTCTCTCTTCAACCTCCATTTTGGTCTTGCGGTGCGTCCCACAACCTATGATGGTAAGTGTGTCAAGCCGGCCTGCAGGAACCCCACTATAACCAACTAGCACATTGAGACGCCGTCCAGCGTGGAGGGCGCTATATAAATCCAAGTTGTTGTTGTTGACGGCCTCCCGATGTGAAAGGAGCTATACAAATATAATTTTGTATTGTATTGGATAACTGACCAGGAAGTAGATTGTGTTCTTTCCCACCTGTCAGTGTGATGCATTTTCTGTTCCCAGCGGGAATCACTATTTGCTAATTCAGACATTTTCCACTCCTTCCCAATGGCTCTGGGTGAGTTTTCAGATACTACGCCTCAAAATTGTGGTACTCCCTCCCTCTAGCGCCCTCTCTATCTGCCTTTAAATTCTGCTTCAAACCCTTTTCAACCATACCAATGGCGACCTCCCACTACCTCCCCTGTGTCCACTGTAAAGTGCACCTGGACATTATCCTATGTGAAGGGTGTTATCTAAATTCAAGCAGTTGTTGAAATTCTGTGTTTGAGTTTGTTTTGATGGATGTCAAGGAATAGTAGGAATTCAGAGTATTAAGTGTTAATATTCTGGAGTGAGCTGTAACGAATCAGGAGCACTAATAACTAGGGAAGAAATGAAGGACAGGCTGACTGGGGAGTGAGTTGGTGGGGGGGAGGGGAGAAATCCAGAACCTCTCCCTTTTTAATTGCACTTAAAGGTTTGGAAGTTTTATTTTTCTAATGATTCCCCTCCTTCACCTTAGTTATCGTGATGGTAATGACCTCTTGCAAAGGTTATCTGTGAGGGAGGAGCATCGTCGAAGGAGAAACCTTTGGACAATGGGGGAGGGGTGGAAACCAACCAGGGGTGTAATCCGAGAGTTATTTTTAACCTCTTTCTCTTTCGGCGTGTTTCTTGTTGTGTGGCTAATACCAGGCAGTAACCGAATGTGAAGGTTCCCTTGCCTGAGACGTGGTTTCAGGCCAGAGGGACTTGGGCTGAGAGAACAGGTTCAGCGCTGTGAAGCTTCTGTAGCAATGCAGCACCCCAGCTAGGGTTTGGCAGGTTTGTGGGAAATGTGATGTCAGTAAATATCACATCAAAGCATGACCGAATCCGAACCGGGGGGAGTGGGGTGGGGGTGAGGGGCGGTGACCGTAGACATGGTCGAATCGGGAGGTCTTCAGGCCTGAAGGTGGGGAAGGAAGGGGCAAGGCGGAGGGATAGATTTAATGTCCATGCTAGTGGAGACTCAGTAAATAGGGGTCATAGATATAATATATCGAGATAGGGAGTTCACAAGTAGAAACTGTAAGCTCAACCACCGATGGGGGCACGGAAAGGGCAGGAGATGCACAACGAGCCGAGAGGAGGGGGCAATAAGAAGAGAATATCAGAGAGAGGGAGGTGCTAGTATATGATGGGATTTATAATAATAATAATAAATGCATTTGGTATGGTGCCTTTCACATCAGGAGGACGTCCCAAAGAGCTTCACAGGATATATTTAAAATGGAACGACTGTGTGTTTTTTGGGTGAACTCGACAGCCAATTTGTGCACAGCCAACATCCCACAAACAGGGATGGAATGAATGACCTATTTGGGGAATTGTTGGCCAGCGCACGGGAAGAAATTGTATTCTCTTTTTGAATAGTATTGTGGGATCTTTAACATCCACCTTACAGGCTTATAGGTAAGGGTGAGGATCTTGAAAGCAATCCATTAGGACATAGGGAACCAGTGGAGCCTGGCAAGGGCTGGGTGATGGGAGAAGTCAGTTGTTGCCTAGTGAAGGACGTAAGTCGATTGAACTATTCTAGTGGTCCACACAAGCTAAGACAAACCAAAACAAGCTGAGCACAGCTTAGAGTGATGCCGAGGCCAAGATCTGAAAGAGCGACACACAGTATGGGTTGGTTGCCAAGCCAACTGTTACCTAGCAATCCCAGCAGTGCCTGACCATAAAAAGGGCCTTTCAGAAGCATGAAATCATTCCCTTCACTGCGAGAGGCTGCCTCCTTCAGTTGCCTGAGGCATTGACATGGGGACAGTAAGTGAGGCGGAGAAAGGCCGTATATAATAGGTGTTGCATTTGGTGTAGCGTCTATAATGTCAAACCGTTTCAGAGCGCTTGACTGGGAATTACTGTCAGGTGCAGTGACAATATGGTTGTAGACAAACTCGGTTTGTATACAACAAAGTTCCAGAAGTGAATGACTGTTAGCCAGGACACCGGGAGACACTCTCTTCAAATAATGTCACCTGATCTTTAACGTCCACCTGAACAAGGAGACGGGAACTCGGTTCAACATCTCATCCGCAGGATGACGCCTCTGAAAATGGAGCGCTCCCCCAGCACTACACTGCAGCATCAGTCTAGACTGTGAGCTCAAAGCCCCTATGAGGGGTGAGAACCTACAACCTTATGAAGCAGAGGCAAGAGTGCGACCAACTGAGCCAATACCAATATCAGGGTGGTCCAACAGGTGGCCCACAGGCCGTATCAGGCCCAGCGGATGATTTCATCCAGCCCAAGATCATTTACAACTCCAGGCCGCCCGCTCCCTCCCTTCCTCCCTCCGCCAGTGAACCGTCCTCTCATGACAGCGGCAGGAGCTGGCGGTTGGAAGGACGCAGCGGGAGAGTGGAAATAATGCTGGCTATTGCTGCTTGATTTTAAGGCAATATTCTTATGGCTAAGGCCATGAGGAATTACAGTGATCAGGTGGCAACACTGGCTGCTGTAAAGTTGCCCTCAGCAGATAATTTTAGATGAAGTTGATGACAGAACAGCACTCACCGGGACGTCCCCTTTGTAAGTCGGGGGTGGGTGGTATGTGATTGGTTCCATTCCTAAACCTTCTGTGAACCCACTGTTCTCCTTAAGTCCCACTCTCCGATGCTGAGTCAAAGCTGTTAACATGTAAAATATTCAGTGAGAGCATACGAGTGTCATGCAGCACTCAAGATGTAAGGAGATAAAGTACAAGGCTGTTTTATTTTACATATGTCACTAGATGTTTATGGAGAATGATAAATGCTAAGCCCCTGACCCCAATTTATTTTGGTCAGCCGGGTGTGACACACACGGAAAACATGCTTCCAATTTTCTAAACCAAGCCAAACTGAAAATATGTATTTAATTTGTTGTTGTTATCATTCATAACATCCAGGCTCGATTACGCAAACTCCCTGCTTGTCGGCCTCTCCAACTCCTCCCTCCATAGGCTGCAGATCATCCTGAACTCTGCAGCCCGCGTTCTCTAGCGCACCAGGCCCACAACCCTATAACAACAACAACTTGGATTTATATAGCGCCCTCCACGCCGGACGGTGGCTCAGAACGCTTCACAGTTACGGATCCCGGGGCCAAGCCAGGGGAATGGGAAGGAAGGGACCAAAGGCGCGGTCGAAGAGAAAGGTCTTCAGCAGGGATCTGAAAATCACCCCTAATCTCGCCCAACTCCATTAGCTTCCCATCACAAAGAAGATAGAGTTCAAGATCCTGGTCTTCACCTTCAAAGCCCTCCATGGCCTTGCTCCCCCCTACCTCTGTGACCTCCTAGCCCCCTACCATGCTGCTTGCTCCCTCAGCTCAGCAGGCTCTGGCCTATTTCATGTCCCCTGCCTCGCCCGCCCCACCGTTGGTGGGTGGGCCTTGTACCACTCTGCGCCCACCCTCTGGAACTCCATCCTGCAGTCCCTCCATCTCGCCCCCTCCCTTGCCTCCATCAAGGCCAGTCTCAAGACCTTCCTCTTCGAACGTGCCTTCGATCAGCCTCCTTCTCCCCCTGCCCTTCACCCTCACTGATCCCGACCCCCAGCTAGGGTCCGAAACACTGATTGTCCAGCGCCTTGGGATGTCCTCCCGACGTGAAAGGTACTATACAAATGTAATTTGTTGTTGTTGTTGGCAAGAACACAATGTGTGTACACACAGCTATATATTTAGATTGTGGTCACTGCAACACAGGGGGTTTGCTATGGAGGAGAGAGCCACGTGGCTGTTTTGAACGGATGAGCTATGAGGAACACCCTCATGGGTTAAGGCCAGGATGCTGGACCTCTTTAATAAACAGCTTGAAGCTGTGTTGGTAGTGGACGGGAGGTGTAAGCTGGAAAGATAAGAAAAATAGGACAAAAGGCTTTCTTCCACCTCTCTTGATCCTGTGACAGTTACACACACGTTCTCTTTCTGTGTCTGTGTGTGTCCACGCGTGTCTCTCTTTCTCTACAGGGCGTCTAGATTTTTTTTATCCGTGCTGCTCCCTATTAACCAGCACAAGGATATTGTGTCCATGTGTAGGAGGAATCATGCCAGAAATCCGAAACTATTACACTGCTCAACAAGGTTGCTGTCTGCGCTGATAATATAAAGGTGTCTATTAAACGCTGTTATGTAACAACCTATGGATTAGTCATTACAATTTGCAGGATGATAGTGTGAAAAACCGTAGGCCAAGAGGCGATAACAAAAATTCTTGTTCCTTACAAACCTTTTCAGGAAATTAATAAGTAAAATCTTTTAAAGGCCTGAATAAACCTTAGCAGTGTAAGTGTGCTGCACTGCCTTTGCCAATGTGCTCCGTCATTGCCAATGTGCTCCATCAAATGGATCGATCTTTCTCTGATTTTTAGTTGGTGCCTGGTTAATAATGGAGCAACTGCTTTTGGGAGACCCTCTGTAGATCTGGCCCTTTCTCGTTCTCCCTCCCTATGCCGGAAACCTCCTACACAGTGTGTGGGGGCAGTTTCACAGTAAGGGGGCAAGCACAGCGGGCAGAGCCCAAGCAGCCCTGCCCATTCCCAAGCCCTTTCACCTCCCCCGGCATCTGCATGACAGACCGATGTGTCAGAGTGCAAAGCCTCATTGCAATGCCTCTACAAACACTCAGAGGTGTGAAATGCCCTTGGAGGGCGAATATTAGTAGGGGTGGGAGTACTTTGAGGTGATTATTATTAGGGGTGGGACTTACAGCAGTGCTAATGGTTAAAACTATTACTTTTACCCTTGTGGGATGCTATCCAAACTTCTGAATATGGTTTGCTGACGTGAAAGGCGCTATACAAACGTTATTTTTGTTTTGTAAAACATTGTAACATACAATAAGGTATCTCTCTATGCAATCATATAATAATAATAATGATCCTTGCATTTGATAAAGGGCTTTTCACGTCTTCTAGAGTCTCAAAGTGCTTCACGGAATGTATGTAAAGTGAATTGACTGTGGGCAAAACGCAGCAGACAATTGCACACAACAGTGACCAATTTTATTATTGTTATTTATTCTTGAGGGATTATTATCAGGGATGTGGAGTAAGGAAACTTCCAAGGGTTCGCCCTGCTGGGAATCAAGCCCAGGTCTCTCGCTTGCAAGGTGAGTGCTCTAACCGCTGAGCTGCAGGACTCCTACGTCTATTCTACACTTCATCAAAGGCTGTGGTCACAGAAATGGGTAAAAATTCCATTTAGCGTGAACATGTGTTGCCTGGACAATGCAGGTCTATAATGAGGGGTATTCCATCCCGTTGGTTGCGCAGTACTTTGAGGTCAGGTACCTGGTATCTCCAATGCTTTCGGCTTGTATTTACTCTTGTATTCGGTGGACATGAATTTTGGTCCCTGCACCAAAGAACAAAAGAGGGAATGGTCACTCTCTCATGGGTTTATAATGCACAGGCGGGAGCCACATCCTGAAACAGAGGAAGTGCCAGGAAAGGGCATTACAGTCCATCTGGCAAATTGAAGGGAAAAAAACATATTTTAATTAAATTTACAAGCAATCATAGTCCATCTCTCATACCCCTTAATTTCTAGGTCAGAAGGTTAGAAAACTTGGAGCAAGAAGAGATCATTCAGTCCAACAACAGCCTAAATTATTAGATTTTTTAAAAACTTTTTAAAATTGCTGCGGGCAAACTGGCTTCAAAATTAAGAGAGTTTTGATTCTTTCGAGAAGAAATTAGATAGATTTCTGTTAGGAAATAATATCCCGGGATACGGTACATAGTTTGGAACTTGACATGGGCAAGTGACTGTCAGGATGGTGGAAGGCGAATTCGATGGACCTTGGTCTTCTTTCGTCCAGCAAATTCTTATCTTCTTATGTAAGATAGAATACTAAGAATTTTTCACAATTCCATGCAAATCTTCATTGTTAAGAAGAAATGGTCTTACATACTAAGACTAGGTGGAATTTCAGGGTTCTGGCAAACCAGGGTTGGGAATGTCCAAGGAAAATGGCACGCAGGGGAGAAGGGGGAGAGAGGCACAGATCAGCTGAGTGTGGCATCGAGAGGGGAGGAGGGGGTCAGGTCAAAGTACTAGCAGTACTAACTGCACAGAAGTAGGATTATTAATTGCCATAGTGCAATCAAGGCCTCAATGAGAGAGCCCAGGTAATTGACTCACTCAAGCTCACATGCAGTTAGTCTCCAAAATTACACTGACATTTTATATAACCAGTTCGATCTCCCTCCATTCCCACAAGCGATGCTTTGCCCTGTGCCTCTGTGAGGGTAATTAGCATGTGATTTAATTACTGATATTAGCAGTGATCCTGCGATGCTTGGTCAAAGGCTGTTCCCTTTCTCTTGCTCCCAGTCCCCCAGCACACGGCTCTTTCACCGAGGAAAGAAGTGCCAGGGGTTTGTTCCAAGTATTTTTTTTCGCAAAATAAAATTCCTTTCCACCTGATATACTATTCCAATGCCTCCTCGCAGGTCTTCCCCAGCTCCACTATCCACAAAATCCAACTAACTCAAAAACTCCGCTGCCTGTATTCACCCATTTTAAACTCCGTACCCCCATCACACCAGTCCTTGCCAGGCTCTACTGGCTCCCTAGCACAGAACACATTAACTTTAAGATCCTCACACTTGTCTACAAATCACTTCATGCTCTGGCAGCTCACTGCCTCTCCGATCTGCTTACTCCCCACTTCACCACCTTCCACTTCCGCTCAGCTGGAACCAGCCTCCTCTTTATCCCCTCGGTTTCACCATCGGCGGCTGTACTTTCAGCCATTATGCCCTAAAACTTTGGACCTGTCTCCTTCAATCCCTCTGCCTTGCTCCCTTCCTTTCCCATTTTCAGATCACACCTTGAAGACCTTCTTCTTCAACTGTCCCCCCCATCCTCTGCTCAGCGTATGGCTACGCCATTGTTAAGCGCCCGGGCATGCTTCCCTTTGTGAAAGATGCTATATAATGCAAGTTGCTCTTGTTGTTTTACTTGTAAATGGATTGTCCTAATTTCAGAAGCATTGTGACAGTAGCAGAAGAGGCCACGGGTTTAGAGTTGCAAAGGGCGACTTGCCTGAATGTTTAGCTGCATATTGAGAGGAGCACCAGTCCATAAAGAAACATTTGGGTTGGTAAATGACGCGTGGCTGTAGTGCTATGCTGTACTTACATGACCTGAGTTTTCCTGTTGCACTACATCCTTTGGTTGTATTTTATGCAGCAAAGGCGAGTACTTGGGTTCAATTCCTACCAGGGACACTGGCCCATGTTTTTTTGTGTCAACGTGGACCTCTTTCATCTGCAGGATAAAAGTAAGAACAATGAGGTAGCACCAGACCTTGCAATGGACGTGACCTCTGAGGCTGATGGCACACGTTTGGTCTTAAATTCTGGTCAGGGTTACCTGTATCGACTATGACAGGTGATTCGTAGTTTGCTTAATAAATAGTGCCACAAGATCTTTAACGTCCACCTGAACAAGCAGGCCAGACTTCGGTTTAACATCTCATCCAAAAAGATGGCACCTCTGACAATGCAATACTTTGCCAGCACTGAATTGGAGTGTCAGCCTGGATTATATAATTTCAAAGGTACAATGTGGGCTTCAGCCTACATGCTTTAGACTCAGAGATAAGACTGCTGACAGCTGAGCCAGACTGACACCTTGTTACCCAAGCAGAGAAGCAGAGAAGAGATAGGACACCTTTCTCATGGTAGCAGCTCCCTTTGTCACTCTAGGACCCTGCCCTGCGTGAGGGGCACTATGTAAATGCAAGTTGTTGTTGTTTTTGTTGTCATCGTTCGTGCCTTCACTTTCAGCAGTGCATGGGTGAACTGTGTCTCTCACAGCTTTGTGCCTCAAGCTGCCCTCAGGAGCTGACCGCTTCTCTTTGCCGCTCCCTGCATCATTGCACCAGACAGGACAGAGACATTCAGGCTAGGTGCCAGTTCGAATGCAATGTGGCAGGTCAGCTTCTCCCATGAGGTGTGTCCATCTGCCTTGGAGCAGCATTGCCAAAGGTGCAATTCTGCCAATCTCTCATGTGTCAGTATACAGTATATAGTCAAGAAATTTGGGGTGTGTGGAGGGGAGGGGGATTTGCTTAACGTATTGCTAAATATTTCACAGCTTTACAAGATTTGGAAAAATTCTTAAATGCAGTCTTACTATTGCTTCATGTCAGCCCAGCCCATTCTGTTGCACTCCTGCCCTTCTTTTTTCAAGTGGAGCCATGGGATCTTTATTGTCCATCTGAACAGGCAGACAGGACTTTGGTGTAACACCTCATCTAAAGGATGCCACCTCTGACAATGCAACATGACCCAGCACTGCATTGGAGTCCCAAAGTTGGGTTTGAACCCACATCTTTTGACCCATAAATGTGAGTGCTACCGAATGACACTTTAAATGTACAATTCGAATGAAAGGCACAGTGCATTTTCTCTTACATCTCTCTGTACTGGAATGTTAAGTGGCTTCTCTCGCATGAATCCACTCCCTTTAGGGTGTATTTTGTAAGGAAAGTCTTCTCTGCCACTTGGGAGCTTATATGGTGTGAAATGCTTCTTGGTGACCGAGACATAGTTATCTTTCAAAAGCACCCTAGAGACAGAGCAGAGTGAAAAGGAAAGGTTAGACTCCTGAAAAAAATGTATCTCTTTGCAGACGGTGACAGAATTCACTCTAAAAAGATATATCATATAATTTCAAGTACAGTTGGCCAGTCTCTCTGGCTAGTCAGTGAGACTTATCAAGGTGCAGAGATCATTAATTCTGTGAACAAAAGCTCTGATGGCCCTAATGGTTAAACACAAGAACATACGAATTGCTAGACAAAAGAAGACCAAGGTCCATCCAGTTTGCCTTGCACCATCCTGGAGATCACGTGCAGATCTTACAAACAGTTGTTTAGAAATGATAAATTTGTTTGAGGCCTATTGACCAGGGCACCATTTTCATTTCAAATAGTCTTGTGGAATCTTTAACTTCCACCTGAATGGATAGATATGGTTTGACATCTCATCTGCAGACAGGACTTCTGACATTAGAAAACTCCTCCCATACTGCTCTGGAGTGTCAGTCTGAACTGTCCCGAACTGAGATCAGTATTCATAACATTCTGAACCCAGAAGTGAGAGAATTACCAACTGATCCAGGCTGACCCAAGGGCAAACCTCTTTCCAAATGCTACAGCTCATAATTCAGTCACTCGAGCATAGGGCGGCATTCACGGAGGTTACCAGAGCAGTCAGCTCGTGTATAACAGGGTGACCTCAGTCATGTAACCATTTGTTTACCAATATTCAATGCCACAGCATGGTTTATACATATGGTTCACACCATGGTCTTAGGCATGTGGTTTCTAACCTCCTGAGGGGAAGGAAATGGCATGTAATTGAGTGTCCAATCACTGCTGGACACAAATCATAGCAAAGTGCCCAAGGTAGAAGAAAAAGACGAGTGGTATCAGCTTGTCTATGCCAGTTCTCTCAGGTTGTTGTACGGCGACGTGTTTTGGCAGCTTTCTCAATCAGCTGTTCCTCTGAGCTTGCTCTTACCCAAGCACCGGGTTGTCATGCCTGTCTAACTTCGATGTGTAGAACAAAGTAGGTCGATGGTTTGGCACATAGCCAGATCCGGAGTGCAAGCCAAGCCTGGGTTTGAATCCTTCATGACCTACAATGCAAAAGACAACACATTACAAAACTGTTTCCCTGAGTTTTCCTGTTCTCGTCCCCACTCGGCTACTCTATAGCCTCCTTCAGATGGAAAACCAGACAGTCCAGGAGGTGGAGGCAGACTTACCGTGACTGGCACTGATGTCAAGTGAGAGGACTCGTGTTCGATTCCCGAGCAGGGCAAAACCTTAGGCGAGTTTCCTTCCTCCACACGCCACTGCTTCCTAGCAGTAAGTAGGAATCCGGTTATAAGTCGATTGGCGGATCACTTTCCGGGGTAATAATCCCTCACTCAATCCATGAGTGTTTATGGGACATTGCTTGCGCAATTGGCTGCTTGGTTTTATGCACTCAAATTTGATCCCAAACTCTTGATTCCAAGGTCAGTGCTCAACTAATTGAACTCCTACAGACCTATCTCTGATCCATTACAAATCTAATAATAATAATAATATTCCTTGCATTTGATATTGTGCCTTATCACATCTTTGAGACGTCTCAAATCGCTTCACAGAATATAATGTAAAGTGAATTGACTGTATATTTTGTGGGCAAAACGCGGCAGCCAATTGCACACTAACAGTCGTGGATTGAATGACCACATTTTTGTTGGGGAGAAGGATTATTACCCCTGGAAAGTGATCTGCCAATCAAGTAACAACTGGGTTCCTACGTACTGCTAGGTAAACAGAGGCGTGTGGAGTAAGGAAATTTAGATATGCCTCCATCTATGCGAGGTCTGGTCTGAAGGACTAGGGTTAGCGGAAGCTGGACTTGCTGTGTGGTTAACATCAAAAGTAACATGAGGACATGAGCTGAGATATGCAGCAATCAGTTCTGTTGCATCAGCAATCTCTTTAGAAAAACACTGAGCACTTGGCTTGGTCACAGAAGCTGAGAGTTTCGGGTTTGGAGCCTGAAGTCTGCTGAGTTGAAGGAGTTTGTTATTGATGCACATCTTTCCTGTGCATGTGTAGACTCCCGACACACACTTACGTACAGCCTGCACTTCACATGACACCGTTTACTGCTCTTTAAAGGCAAGAAAATGTTTCACAATGGTCAGCTATTTTTAATTCTGATACACTCCGTTACTGCAACATGTGAAATAATAGTAATAATTGCTTTGGATGTACAGCCCTGTTACGTTGATGTGTCTCAAAGCCTTTCGCACAGTGATTTACTTTGAAGTGTGGTGATTGTTATGCAAGCAATCGCAGCACTTAATCTGCATGAGTAACGTCCCACACACAGCAATGAGGTGAATTTGTAGCTTGAATTTAGATGAAGGAGGAATATTGGCCAGGGTGCCCTATTCCTCCTCAAAACCGTGGTATGGAATCAGTGTCCACCTAAATCACTACAGCAGGCCACTAGGACCTGGGTTTACCAGACAGGAGGCTTTTATGCATGAATCGTTTTGGTGAATGAAAGTCTGGACCTACTGGGTTAGGCTTTTGATGCTTTCTAATAACGAGAGATCCCATCTGCCTGTTCAGGGGATGTTAAAGATCCCATGGCACTATTCCAAAAGAGAATGGAGTTTCTCTCTCCTGGTGTCCTGGCCAACAAACCCCCAAATAAAAAATTGGTCACTCACTCCACAGCTGTTTGTGGGACACTGCTATGTGCAAATTGGCTGCAGCGTTTTGCCCGCACAATACACAGTCAATCCACTTTACAGTTCTGTATATCCTGTGAAGCATTTTGCGACGTCTGAATGATGTTATAAGGTGCTATATCAAAGGTTAATATTTTTATCATAATAAAACTGGATTTATTAGGACAATACCTGCCCGATCACAATCTGTAGCTCAACGGACAAGCCGACTTGCTGAAAGTTCGCCACCTTTTTAGTTTCAGTGAGAAAGCTAATGAAAGGCTGAGAACTATAATGTGTATCATTAAGGCTGGAAAGACAAGGAGCTCCTCCAGAGTAAGATGAGATAAATCAGGCAGCGATTCATTGACGGTCCATTGGTTTAACATCTCCATTAGGATCTTTCCCAATGGGAATATTTGTAACCCAAAAATTGAGTTTTGTGATTGTCACCGTTCCATCCATCACACACATACCCACACACAAACACACACACACAGAAACAGATACGTACAAGCTTCGATGCCCTACCGTATGATGATGAATATGTAGTGGAGTAGAATTTCATAGGATTGACATCTGCTCCGAAGCTCGTCTTTGCATAAAGCGACTCCCTGTCTGTCGACACTGCCATCCTGCAGCATTTGCTCTGCTCAAGTAACAAATGGCCCGAAAGGAATGTGACAGATACTCATTGACAACAACAGTAAATTATATTTGTATAGCCCGTTTCATGTCGGAAGAACATCCCAAAGCGCTGGACAATCATTGAACCCAAGCTGGGGGTTGGGATCTCAGGAGAGGTAGAGGGAAGTTGGGGTGGGGAGGGTGACCGAAGATGCGGTCAAAGAGAAAGGTCTTGAGACGGGCCTTGATGGAGGCAAAGTTGCGGAGGAGACAAAGGGACTGTCAAGGATAGAACACAATTTAATGGCAACAGAGCTGTCACCATAATAATAATCTTTGCATTTGACATAGCGTTTTCGAACTTTGAAATGCCTCAGAGAGTTTTGTAGGTTATTGCTGTCAAGTGTAATGGAATTGTAGGCAAATGTGGCAACTGATTTGTACATTTGTAAAGTCTACAAACAGCCATTAAGTATCCCCGGATTAGGCCTCAGGTGGTTGTTGAGGGTCATTTTGCCCTCAGTAACCCATGCTATTATCACACTGGGGTTTAAAGCATTCTGTGCATTGCTCTTGTTTTTCCCTATGTTTATATGGTAGGATTTTCCTTTCAAAATATTGAGTAAAAATGATCTTTTTTTAGCAATCAGCATACTGTAGATTCCTCCCAACCCCCCACTAATTTCGTTCATTGAGTGAACACTCAGTCATATGGTGCTATGACAAAGCTGCTGTCCTATCGAGCCAATTTTAACTCTGTCTCCACTTGTTTTATATCCTCAATATAAATAATATTAAGTCCTGTAGCTCGGTGGTTAGAGAACTCGGCTCGCAAGGGAGAGACCTGGGTTCCATTCCCAGCAAGGCTTGGGAACGTTTCCTTACTCCACACGCCTGATAATAATCCCTCAAGAAAAAAAAATAATAAATTGATCACTCAGTCCATGACTGTTTATGGGACACTGCTGTGTGCAATTGGCTGCTGTGTTTCGCCCACAAATATACAGTCAATTCACTTTACAGTATATTCCGTGAAGCACTTTGAGACATCTAGAAGACGTGAAAAGCACTATATCAAATCCAAGGAAAGATTATTATTTGTTTTATATCCTCAGTATCTGTACAATCTGTTGTAAGTTTATGCAATGGGTTGAACTTTTAGGATTCTATACATATTGCAAACCCATTTCCTTTTGTCAAGTTCAGTATATCAATCATTTTGCATTAATTCATGAGCTTTTATTTGGGCTCTCTCACAGCTCCCTCGGTTAAATGGATACCGTGGTAGGTTTACTAAGTAATACAGGACGTCCCTGGCTTGACTCCCTGATCTGTACTGAGTTAGCTTATCTCTGTCAGGTCAGAGATGAAGATGGAGCAATAGATCCCAGTCCTGTAAACTAGCCAGAGCTTCTGCTCTTCTCCACGATCCTTTAATCCTCCACTTTCTTCCCCGCACATAGACAATGGGTGAGAACAAGAGCAGATTCTAAGGCTGTCCAATTGTCCATTCTCCCAACGCCTTTTTTGTCCAGGCTCACTCGCAAAGCCATGGTCACTGCTGGACGAGACTTGGACGGTTTTTGGTGATCATGCAACTAAAGCCTATTGTAGTTTATAGAGAAGGATAGGACGGAATTGAAGAACAACAACTTTTAGCTTAAAGAAGCACAATCCACTCCTGAGTGCTAAATATAACCAAGTGATATTTTATATACTGTATGTGAAAGGATTGTTATTATTATTACTGCACCAGAATCTGGATAATCGACTCCCGATTACAGCATTTTTGCAGACCATGTTACTGTGTGCCTGGGGCGCTTCAGTCCTCTGCAGTTGACAAAAAGTGCCCACTTTTATCATAATAATAATAATAATCCTTGCAATTGATATAGCGCCTAATCATGTAGTCGAGACGTCTCAAAGCGCTTCAGAGAATATATTGTGAAGTAGATTGACTGTGTATTTTGTGGGTGAATATCTATCTGAAGGAAAGGCAGACAGGATTCTGGTTTAACTTAAGAACAACATCTACAACCACGCGACAATATGGCACTGGAGTGCTGGCCTGACTGTGAGCTGAAGCCCATTGAGTTTGAACCCACAACCTTCTGACATTGGGGTGACGTCTGATTGAAAGTCAAGCAGAAGGAGCTGATGAACATGGTTTAGAGACGTAAGCAAGCTTGGCCAGGATGTTGTGGTCATGCTGCACTATAACCTACTGATCGTTTTCTAACCATGATGTCAGTGTGACCCAAAATGTTTTAACAGTGAACGGAGATGCTTCATCTCAGTGCACTTGATAGAGAATTGTGTGTTGAATAACATAGACGAACAGCTTGCTTCTTGAGATTTTCCTCTGTGTACAATCCGCACATATCTCTCTAAATACTCTTCCGATCTCAAGGTTTGTTGGTAATTTTCCAAGGACTGCAGCTTCCTCTTTTTGCACAAATTTGTACGGCAGCCTCTTCTATGTATACATAAGCAATTAGATAGAAGTGTGTGTGCGTGTGTGTGCGATTTGCAAATCTCCTCTCATTTAAAGGGGAATTATCCTCGCTTCAAATGTGGGTTATGTGGACAAGGGAAAGCGAGGAGCAAAAAAAAGTCATCAAGACACCTTCTTCTTGTGACCACATGCAATCTGTAGCATAATAGACTCGCTTGTTAGATAATCTGTGTATTTTGTAGCCAAACATGGCAGCCAATTTGCACACAGCAATGAGGTGAATGACCACTTTTTTTCTGTGGAATTGTTGGCCAGGACACCAGAGGAAACTTTTTTTTAATAGTGCCATGGGGTCTTTAATGTTCACTTGAACAGGCAGGCAGAACCATGGTTTAATGGCTCATTGGAAAGATGACATCTCGGACAACACAGAGCTCCCACCAGCACTGCATTGGACAGTCATCTTAGTGTGAGCTCAAAGCCCCAATGTGGGGCTTGGATCTACAACCTTCTGACTCAGAAGCCAGATTGAGACCCATATGGTGTATATATACTACATTGGTTTTATGAAGGAGTAAACTACAGCCTGGAATCTAATCAAAGCATTCAGATGGTGTGTGTATATATGTATGTGACAATAGATACCAGGGAGTAAATTATAATCTGGAATCTAATTGAGATTTGAATGGTTTACATATATACAGGCATGGATTACAGGCTGCCATCTAATCGAGAGGTGCAGATGGTTTATACAAAAAAAACAGGAATATGTTGGAGTGATTGCTGATCAGTAATCTAGGCAAGTGTCTCAGGTGTCATCATATACTGCACCAGCAGTAAAGGTGAACTCGACTTTTTCTCTCTTAGCTGTGGTTTGACCTGCCTTTCTGCTTTTGTTCCTAGGCACTAGTTGTGTGAGCTTCAGCTTCCAGATAGGCGAGATCGGAGCCAGCCTGGAGGTGTATCTGTATCAGTGCTGTGACTGTCTCCAGGCTGGCAATCCAATAGGCATTGCTGTACATGCTATTGGGTTACCGCTGTACATTGCTGTATATGCTATTGGGTTACCACTGTACACTGCTGCTCCTCTGCCCTCTTGTGGACAGAAAATAAATGTACACAGAATTTTGAATTTATGGTAGAAACCAGGATAAACCCATGTGAAAATCCTGCAGAAAATGAGAAGTGAGCCATTTTGCCACTGCCTGTTCAGTTGGGCATTCAAGATACCATGAAACTATTTGAGAAAGAAAGAGAAGGGGAGTTTCTCCCAGTCCCAGCCACCATTTCCCCAGATATATTGATCATTTCAATTCATTGCTTGGCCATTTGTGTGGGCCTTTGTTCCATTCGCCTACAAATACTCGTTCATTTTATAGCAGGCGCTGTCTACATACAGTATATGTGTTACTTATACAGTAGACAGGTATCTGCAAATAATAAAAAAATCCTTGCATTTGGTATAGCACCTTTAATGTCAACCCATTGTATCATGATGGGGGATAGAGTATTGGAATGGGATTAGAGAGCTCCAGTGGGAGAGCTGGCATGAACACAGAAACAATGGGGAAGAGAGCAGCAGAATCGGTTTAGAATCGAGAGCTCCAGTAGGGGGGAAAACTGGCACCATCGGAGACACAACAGGGGAAAAGAGCCACGAAACGGGATTAGAGTAGAGAGCCCCAGTGAGGGAGCTGGCAACGAGCACAGTCACAATGCAGTACAGAGCAGTGGAATGGGATTAGAGAGATGATGTGATCTGGCGACCAGCGCAGAAACCATGGGGGAAATTCCAGAGATAGATTGTTGGAATGGATTACGCACTCTCTCCCTGGAGGCACGCATTCTGCTTACTTAAATCTGGAAAATATTAGGCGTAGGTTGGCAAGGGCCAAGGCTTGGGAACCCCCAGAGTGCGCGTTGGGGTAACTGCTGGAATCTAAGAAGCTAAAACCACATAGCTTGCCATTGATATCACTGTCTGGCAAGATGTCCCGCTGCTTGTCCAGCTAAGACTTTGGCTTTCCGGGTTAACAGGAGCTGAGTGGGAGGATTCCTTGCCCCCAGTGACTGGTCTGCCCTTCCAGGTCCTGCTGATGAACCCGGTTGGGTTGTGCCAGTGCCCTGGAGAACCACGGCCGGGGGCGAGCGCAGCGGGAAGGGATCAGAGAGCCCCAGTGAGGGAGAGAAACTGGGCAACTAGTGCAGACGAGAAAAGCCAAAGGACTTTCTTCAGAAGCTGCACGAGTTCTAGATTTATGCTTAACATTATTATTATTATTATTATTATTATTGTGGTTTATTGCATTGCTATTCTTGAAATTGCAATACTTTGCAGATATGTGAGGGTGGGGGTGGGGAGGGGGGAGAGGGAGAGGTGGGGGGAAGGGGGAGGACAGACAGACGGTCAAACCTCAGGGACACAGTAACCACACAAAGGCGCGAGTTGCACCACATCAGAGAGGTTGGGCGTTGCGAGGAGGAGGAGGAGGAGGAGGAGGAAGAGAAAGAGGCTGAGGCGCGGGTTCACGGGGCTCGATTTGAACGGGGTCGGAGGGAAACGGGAGGGAAGGAAGAGAGCGAGCGGTGGAGGAGGAGGGAGCAGCTCAAGGCAGAGCCTGTGAGCCATTTCCTTGCAACCCGGTGCCCGTGTGTCGGTGCCTTCCTTACCTGTGCTGCAGGCGCCGCTCTGCTCTGCTCTGGTCCCTCCGCTCGGGGGCGAACTGTTGTTTACCTGTAACCTGGCAACCGTCGCCAGGGGCGACTGGCACCGAGGATGCCCCGCACAAGTGGCTTCTTTTCATCATCATCATCATCATCATAATCCTTGCATTTTCGATAGAGCGCTGTTCACGTCGGGAGGACGTCCCAAAGCACTTCACAGAACGCACTGTAAAGCGAATTGACTGTATATTTGGGGGCGAACGCGGCAGCCAATTGCGCACGGCGGTGTCCCACAGACACCGTAGGTGGTCGGTTGAAAATGACCAATTTTTTTATTATTGTTTTTGGTTTTGGAGGGATTATTATTAGGCTCTGTGTGGAGTAAGGAAACTTGCCCAAGGTTTCGCCCTCTGCCTGGAATTGAACTCGGGTCTCTCGCTTGCAAAGCGAGTGCTCGAACCACTGAGCTACAGGACTCCAACATCATCATCCTCATCATCATCGTTGGGATTATGAGTTGATGTCAAATGTGCAGAATGCAGACTGGAAAGCTTTACTGACTCAGGGGAGGGAGAGAGTCAGGCGTCTGACACCGGACTGATCTCCTCTTCCCTGGTGGCTCATCCCTTCTAACACTTGGGGCTCAGCTCCATTGCTCTCTGCGGTCAGACAGAGGGAATAAGTGATGCCCTTTATGTGGCAGAGACCAGGACTGTATATAGTATTCCAGTCGCAGGGCCAGGGATGGAGCATCGCACAGCTTGAAAATGAGTTTGATTTCCGTTCCGTCCTTGGTCCTCTCCTCTTCAGCATTCACGTGCCTTCAGCCACTACGCCCCCGAGGCTCTGGAATTCCCTTCTTCACTCCCTTCGCCTCGCCTCGACCCCCCACCCCACCCCTTCTCTTCCTACTTTCAGGTTCCTTCTGAAGACCTTTCTTTTTGACCGCGCCTTTGGTCACCTTCCTCCCCCTCCCCCTGGCTCGGCCCCGGGATTCGTTACTGTGAAGGGCTCTGAGACACCGTCCGGCGTGGAGGGCGCTATATAAATCCAAGTTGTTGTTGTTGTTCCCTCTTGGTGACATCAACTGCAGACATGGTGTCAACCTCCACATTCCGTTTGCCTTGGTTTCACTCCTGACGTCCTTCATTCACGTAGGAATATTGTATCAACTCTTTTTTTGCTACGTACACTATAACGTATAACGTATTTTGTTTGGAGGAGTTTGATCAGAATTGCCTCTTTCTTTTTTCCCCCCCTCATCTCTTTGTGTAGATTTACAGAGATTGCACAGCACAGAAACAGCCCAACCAGTCTGTGTCGGTGTTTATACTCAACACGAGTCTGAAGATATGGAAATGAGAAAAAGCCACTCATCTTAAGCAGCTATATTGACTGTTGCAATCTACATACTGTGGTTACAAGGTAATGGATCGGTGTAAACGCCATCATTTTCATCCGTTGCCATGTTTGGTGCTACATCTTCCGTAACACGGATGGAGTACGGATGAAGTTACTGGTGTTAGACATTGATACACTCGACTCATCTGCAACAGAAAATAGAATTCACTGAAAGAACAAAACAGGACTTTGTGAACCTTGTACATTACATTGGGAATCTGGCCAGTTTTAATTTGTGGTTGATTCAAACCAGGTGCCTACGTGCAACTGCACCAGAGGGCAGTCTTATCCTACAATAGTTGGTGTCTCTCAGTAGTGAAAGCAATTATTCCTCGAATCAGATTTGGGTCACAGTTTCCATAGATCAGAGTCATAGAAATGTACAGCGCAGAAGGAGGCCATTCGACCCATCGAGTATGCACCAGTTCTCAGAGCAAGACGTCCATTCAAACCCACTGTCCTATCTTATCCCTATTGTCCCTTTAGGCTCTAATCATGTGTCACTCAATGCTTAGCAGGCTCGGGCCTGCTCCGTGTCCCTTGGCCTGCCTGCCCCACAATAGGCAATCAGGCCTTTAGCCTCCGTGCCCCACCTTTTGGAACTCCATCCCACAGTCTCTTCACCTCGCCCCCTCCCCTTGCCTCCTTCAAGGCTCATCTCAAGACTACCCTCTTTGACAGTGCCTTTGGTCACATTCCTACCACTACCATTCTTGCTCCACTCCTCCTGATCTCCAACCCCCAGGTTGTGTCAAAATCCCTAACAGTGCAGCGTCTTGGGACGTCCTTCCGATGTGAAAGACACTATACAAATGTAATTTGTTGTTGATGTTATTGTGTCTCTAATCATCTGCCATCGACCCATCAGTTGTGCCCTGTTGTTTTCTCCACATCTTGCAAGTTTTGACCAGATGGGATCCGGTCTTTGATCTGCAAATTGACTCTTAGCATAGTGGGTTTATTTGTTTGGAAGAGGCCAGTGAGGTGGTTACTGCCAAATTCGTGATGCATTTATATCATTTACGCAGCTTGTTCCTGTACTTAGTTTCACTTCTTTCATCAGTTTAACATCTCTTATCTCCCACACAAGAGTCTCAGATAACAAGCTCTAACCTTTCATTTACCTCAGCCTTTTTGTTTACTTTGCCCATTCGTGCCTCAGTTGTACCTGTGTGAAGGACCTAATCCCCAGTGACTGCCCAATGACCACTTGGATGGCAGTGTGTGCTTGTTGTTGTGCTGGGAGACGATTGACACCCACTCACCCTGTCTGATCTCCTCAAACATTGCACCCAACGGACAAGGCAAAAAGGCAAACATTAAAGTTGTGAGAACTTTGACCGAGGAATGTGTAAATTTGGCTTTATTATCCACTGAAAGTACTAACAGGATATTGTGATAGTATTTGTACCCTTGCAATAAGATGCCTCAAGTGGCTTGGTTGCCTAATGTCTCTGTAACAGGTGACAGACAGATCGTGAGCTCAGGATATTAATAATTGTAATCCTTCCATTTGATGCAGCACCTTCCAATTTGGGAGAACATCTCAAAGCTTCAGAGGATTCGATTTACTTTACAGTAGATTCTGTGAAGCGCTTTGAGACTTCTCAACGACGTGATAAAACGCTATATCAAATGCAAGGATTATTATTATTATTTATGCTTCGTAGATGTCCTTTGCCAACTAGTTTAAGGATTTGGCTTGTGTGCAGCTGCGCGGGTGAGATGTTTGGGTGGAAGTATCTGGGAGCAGTTGTGAGCCTCATACTGTGCAAGATTTATTCCTACACAACACGGAATGGGCAAGATTGCTGAATGATTGTGACTGTGCCCCTGCAGATACTAAGCTACCCCTCCCCTCGCACTGTCAGGCTCAGAATATCTTCCCACACACTTCAACCACAAAGCAGCTGGCGTTTAGAGAATCTGTAAAACACAGATTAGGAAGGAAGCCAATTAATCATTCGCTCTAATTGCGCATTTTATTTTATTGCAAATGGTCAGACAAACACTGGTGGTCAGAAGCACCCTTTAAATATTTGAATTATAATTTTACTCTTTTAGGGAATAAATTTAAGATCATTACCATGACACCCCTCCCATCCCTTCCACCCCGATCCCGCCCCAAGATGAGACCAGTTAACTCAGCTCCTGTAACTCTACAAGCCTTGACGGGGGTAGTTGGACAAGCTTGCCAGACAGTGCTCTCAATGGCAAGCTATGCGGTTTTAGCTAGTTAGACTCCTAGCAGTTATCCCACACTCTTTGACCCCCTTGGTATTCGCCAACCTGCACCTAATACTCTCCAGGATTAGTTCAGCAGAGTGCATCCCTTCAGGGAGAGTGCATGCGCATTCCATTGCAGACACAGGAATTTCCATGCATAGGTGGGATGTGTGGAACTCTCAGTTTGGTTTGAATACTCTTAAGAATCGTGATAAGTGACCCGGCTGACCAAAACAAAGGCAGAGGTTCAAATTGATTTTACGCTGAGGGTTATTAACGTGTAGAATCCCTGATCAGAAGCAGTGGCTTGAAGCAGAGTTGCAATAGGTTTCAAAAGGGAATTGGACAAATGTGTTGAAAAAAGAATATAAAAGCGGAAAGGATAGGGGAGTAAATGCTGATTACCAAATAAAAGCCTTCAGAAATAACTTCACATATATACACAGCTGTGTTTAATTTGAAGCTAAAGAGAATCTTGATTCTCCTCCCTGTTCCTTGCTGTTTCCGAATTCAATGACAGATGTTGCTTTCAGTCACATTCTGAGCTTAAACTGACAGAATGTCCACGTCGCTGTAGCTTAGGCCAGGGTTCAGTTTATAGAGTGTGCATGTGTCCTACAGTTCCCCAAATAACATGCATGTTGTGGCTGTTTCTGGCACATTATTGTGCGCCAACTGGGTGTAGTTTTCGCCTATAAAATGCCATCTACATGCTATCTACATGCTATCTACATACTGCAGAAAACGTTTTTGAAGCACTTTGAGATGATTAAAGCTAGAAGCGAGTTGTAAGTTCCCGGTCAGTGCTGAGCTCGCCGATCTCAGCCAGCCGAGTAGGTGTTGCCCTATAATTACCCTCAGTGCCTCTGGGTGAGGGATGAGCTGTTGACCATTGCATTGTTTGCTATCACACAAGATCACAAGTTTGGTTCAGATAAGGATGTCATTTGCATTGTATTTGCATTATTTGCTATCACACACAAGTTTGGTTCAGATAAGGAAAGCCCTTCTGGTCCATTTGATCTTATCCTCGAGAAAATCCACCTTCCCATAATCCCATCGCTACATTTTCTTAAATGAATCCTTCCTAGAAATCTGTTTAGTGATTAGCTTTCTTCCAAGTGAAGAAATACTTTCTGGTATCAGCCCTGAATCTGGCCAACAGAACCTGTGTGTCCTCTTGTTCTACTGTCTTGATCCATCCCAAAGTATTATTCTGGGTTTATTTTTTCAATCCCATTTAAAATCTCATAGACCTCTGTAGTCCTCTCTGAGATCTCTCTTATCAAGACTGAATAGCCCTAATTATTGCTCATCATTCATTCCTCCAACGGTAAACTCCCTTTGCTCAGTCCCTGCTCTATCTGGCCCACCATCATCAGAGAAGCTTTCCACTCTCAGGAACTCCATCCCGCCGACTTGCTCCCTCCCTCACCTCGTTTAAAATTGGATCCAAGACCCATCTCTTTGTCTGCACTTTTGGTCACTTCCCTCCACCAATTTGCGCTTCTATAGTTATGTAAAG